AAAATAAAAATAAAAAATAAAAAAAATAAATAAATCAGAATGTTACCTAAAGGCCAGTCAAAAAGATTAGCTGTTTCTTCAATAAAGCCACAGCTCCAGACTGCAGACTGTCACTTTTCATTTTTTTGACTTTGATTTGGGGACAGATTACAGTTCTCCATCAGTCGACCTCAGGGTCCTGGTGGTGACATAAAATACAGAAATGTAAAAAGGGAGGTGACTAGGAAGCTTTAAAAGTCCAGACCAGAACCTGTTCTGTATCAAACAGGAGGTCGGTGCAAAGACATCAGCAAAGGTGGAACGTGAGAGCGTTCGTCGAAGGTTTAGCTGCAGATGATTTTTACTGAGGTGAGTAAAAACAGAATTAAAATAATCAATGTGGGATGTTGTAAAAGCATGAAAGACCATCTCTAGAAGCTCAGAAACCAACACTTCTTAACTGGAAAAACAAAAACAAGCAAATGACATGTCTAATCTCATCTTCAGATTTTTTTTTTTATTGGTGGGTTTAAATTAAGTGGAATTTAAACCCAAGTGTCCAGTTATCTGAGAAGTCGAGCTTTCTGCAATAAAATACAGAATTAAGTTATTCATACAAAATATTTGATATGCATTTTAGCAGAAACATAGGTTTGACTTTATTCATCATAAACTAAATGTGTGATGTTTAGACCATCATGCTGCATCCTCTGTGTCTTTTAACAGAGTGTGAACAATACAAACATCACATGTAGTAACAGACAAATCACCGATTTACTTCATTAACTCAAAATGTCTCAGTGTCAGCAAAAAAATTAACAAGACCATTTTTTATGGTTGAAAGATAAAAGATTTAAGTTCAGATCAAAATGTGAAATGACCAACCTTTAAACAGTGAGCAGCTGCTGTTTTACTAGTAAAATAATATTCCCAGACTGTATAACTGCTGAGAAAAGGTTAAATAAAAGTGCAGCTCTGTCTGAAAGTTGAAGCTACTGCTGGCAGCTTGTTATTGAGCCGTTAATGTGAAAAACGTGACAAGAGTTCTAAATTTACTACAACTTCCATGATGGTTTGTAGTTTGACTCTTCAAATAGTTCTGAATGATGCTGCTGGACTGGATCAACTTTGACTTCAATTTAGTTTTCGTACAATCCCTTTAAAGCTGTTTTGTTATAAAAAAATTGTATAATCAAAAATAAATATTGCAATATGAAATGACACAAAAGTTCAGAACTAGTGTTTTGATCCAGTTTTGTGCTGTGATGTCAGCCCTGAGACAAACATGATTCTGTACGAATCAAACTGTGGGAAACAGCTGGAAATCATAAAATGTCTTTCAGTTGATAACTTTTACTTTTTCACATATTAATTGTTTCACAACTGAGATTTAAAAGAAGTAGAGTATAAGCTAATTTTTATTTTTGAAAAAAAAACCACTGGGGGTGGGGGGAGTTTTATGTCTCTCCTCATTAAGACTGTCACATTAGTTTAATGTTCCTGTCAGCCTGCAGCTTCAGTAAAATGGATATTTAAAGACTCCTCATGTCATCTTTACTTTCCCGCGCTGGGTGCCTGTCATTTTTCACAAGTGAGTTTGAACCCATTAAAGTTGATGTGTTTGTGACTCTCAGATCCTTCTGCTTCGTGCTGGAGAGCGCCAGCAGTCCTCACTGGTTCTTGATTTTTCCCTCTCACWGCCGACTGCCAACCAAATGTAATCTCACTTCATTATCGACCCCAAAACCACGTATGAAGGAATTAAAGAGTCAAAATTTCTGTTTTAATTAGACTTCTGTTGGATTTAATCCAAACTGTTTCTGCACGTTAGAGGAAGTGAGTGGCTCACTGATTTTTGCATATAGAAATCAATAGCTTATGAAATGATAAATGATAAAAAATTATTTAGTTTGCAGTCTTTGTAAAACTTGTGAAACTAATCTTTGCACAAAAATTAAGTAAATTTGTGTTTAGTAGATTATTTCTTTGCTGTAACAATGCTTCTTTGCATTAAATCTTATAGTTAGAAAACCTGTTAATTTCCTTTTTAAATGGAGCCACATTTGTGAGGAACATGCATTTGTGGGATGAGCAGTGGAGCCGGTGCTGCCAGTCAGAAGTCTGTATAAGATTTATAGCCAAGAAGCATTGTTACAACAAAGAAATAATCTACCAAACACAAATATACTTACTTTACTTACTAAAAACCCACGGCAAGCTTAGAGTTACTAAAGCTCTCACGGTTTGTAGAGATCTGGGTCCATGAATGCAGACGGGCTTGAGGAGCTCAAAAACGTAGGAACCAGCAAAACTTAGGAGATACAAGGAAAACTGGGAAAAAACCAGTATGATTGGATTGGTGAATAAATGAAAACTGTCAGAAAATGGCGAGAAGAGGTAATGAAGATATGAAGACATCTGGGACCAGGTGAAAGTGGGCGTGGCAGGACTGACTGAAGAACCAGAAAATTAAAAAGCGGTTTATGCACCAAGGAACAGGCAAGACTAAACAAACTAAAACAGAACTAAACACCATCAC